ATTTCTAAAACAGAATGAAACCCATTATTATGGACTTATTAAAAAGCTTATGAAATAAAAATATAAGGAACCAAACCAGTTACTTATGGATTAAATGAGCTCACTACAGAAAAATAAAAGAGGGCTTTAACTTCTACTCCTAAAGGATTCCATACAGAAAATTGAGACATCAGTGAGAGACTGGACTACTGAACTGGAAGCTCATCCCGGCTGACAGTCCCCTTAAACAAAAAGAAAAAAGAAATCCTCCACACACTTCAAATTAAAGTCACCATTTAGCCCCAGACCTGCTCCAGTGCATTCCCTAGTCCCATGAAGCACATTGCTTCTATTGACTCAAATATAATAATTCCTTTTAATTTCTGCCCCTTTTTCTAATTCTACCTTCTATAGTAATACAAAATAATTTGATTATTCCTCTGAAACCCTTTAAATCATGTGAAGATGGCAATTTATGCCTAAGTCTTCTCTTCTCCGTTCTAGTTATGGTAATGGTGGTGCTGAGAATGACTGGTAGCAGAGGTGGTGGTGGTGTTGGTGGTGGAAGGTAAAGGCAGTAGTGGTGATGGGGGAGGTGAATGGAGATGGTAACACTAGAGTGATAACGAGCTGTAATGGTGGTGGTGGTGGTGGTGTTAGTTATTACCAGATTAAGTGGGAGTAGCATGACAGTAGTGACGATGGTGACCATAGTGACATGGTGACAGTAGCTGTGGTGGTGGTAGTGCTGCACATGATAGCAGCAACAGAGATGGTGGAGGAGATAGGGATGGTATTGAAGGTCAGAAGAGGGTGGCACTAGAAGTTGTGATCATGGTCGTGGCTGCAGCAAAGGCACAGACAAAGTGGCTCAATAAGGTATTGATACTGATGAGCAGAGGCAGCAGCCATAGTAGTGGGGACAGTAAAAGGATGCTGTGGCTGTAACAGATGACAACAGAATGCTGACGTTTGCTGTAATATTAAAAGTAATGTTCATTCAGATACATTGGCAAAGGAATCGGCAAGAACAGAAACAGAAGTGCTGAATGCAAAGGAAGAGGCAACTCTAAAGTGGTTACCTGCTGACTGAGAGCGACATACACAAAGTACACGAGACTGAGGGAGCAAGCAGACCAACACCGTCCCAGCTAGGAGGCCTCCAGGACTTTACTCACACCCTCCCACCCACAGCTCTTTGTTCTGAATCTCATCCTTCCATGGCTATTGCATTTTGGATTTGTGCAAGACAGCAATTTCCTGCCTGCACTGGAAAGAAGGAAAACTGGATGGTAGGTACACTAAGGCAAGCTCTTAGAGGCTGTCTCCAGCCACTGTGGGTTGGCTTCGGTGTGAGGCTGTGTTCCAGGGGTGGAGTGTTCCAATGTGTTCCAATGCTCCACTGGTTGTATCCTCCCTGACACTCCCACAGACACTGAGGTCTCCCTGCTAAGGGACATCTGGCCTGTGATGCCACAGATATAAAGTAAGCAGCTAGGTGCAGAAAACTAGAAGCATTTGAAAAATAAAATCAGTGTCTACAACAGTGTAGCACAGAATAATCCAAATATCTATGGCCTCTCTGGAACTCACTGGCATTTCTGAACCTCATACCAGCAAGAACAAGTAATCTGGACTCAATCCAGATCAATTCCACATCCATCAGCCAAAACGTTGGCTGAATCACCTCTGCTGTCTCATATTTGATTGACGGGGGTTTAAACACAATTGAAGCGGCAACTAAGGTCACCCTGCTCCTCCACCTTCCTCTGCACCTTCCTCTGGATTCTATTGGGCTTCCATGTGTGACACTATGCTGAGCAAGTATGTGGCTTAAGTGTGGCATCCATAAACCCTGCCCACAACCTGCTCTCAAGTGATTATAATGATAGTGGTGGTTGTGCCTCCAAGGGCCCCAGGTTGGACTGGATGGGCTACTCATCAGGACAAGCTCATCCTCCAGTAAAATGACATCCTCCTAGGGCCACAAATGCCAAGCACCTCTTATAACTATCACTCTTTCCTCAGCTTTTTCTCCTTCTTGTCTCAAAAGCCTGGTCACCTAGTCCTAACTGGGTACCATCACCTTGGTTAGGATGCTTCCCCTGCCTTCATTTAGCCTGCACAGAAAGGGCATCACCATATGATGGACACTAAGCTGCTGCAGTATCAAGGGCTCCACGGAGACCCTGCCAGTAGAGTTGTGTCCAGCGATCTGTCTTGGCAGAGAGAGATGGACATGCTCCCGCATTTCCAGCCTCTTTCCTTCCCTTAGCTGACACAGGGGCAGGGCTCCTGCACAAGTGTGCATTTCCCTGGAGGATACTAGGAGCTCCCAAAAGGAAAACAGCAGGGTCTGTACTTTCTGCTAGTGCTTTCTAACCTCCATAGCCCACACACCTCGTCCACAGCTCCTCCCAAACCTATGCACCACTCACATTGCTATTTATTTAATATTTTCCCTAGATGAACTCATTTTTACCTAGCCAAAATTTTTTTAAAGATGTACTAATGCCATCTTTTGACCTCATCCTAAGCAATGATATCCTAAAAGCATAAGTCTGAGCACACATACACAGACATAAGTACATATACCACACATGCCCCAGGCACATGGACACACTTACACATCCTAAGGCACATTAAAAGCAGTGTGTAGAGTCTAGAATGGGAGGGGTTCTTTGTTCACTATCAGCAAGCACACTCTGCTTTATGCAACTCTTCTGCAATTTACATAGGCTATAAAAAGGATTATGTGGAGTAAAATATCTTAATTAATCACAGTGCAATTAAATGTTACAATAGCTTAATTAGATGCCAATATCACAATCATATTGAAAATAACTCAGAAATCTGCCTGCATCATCTGTCTACTTTAAAACTCCTAAAATGCTGCCTCACTTATTGCCCCCCTTTTGGGGCCGAACGGGGCCTGAAATCTCTTGGAGTTGCTCAAACTAGACCAGAGATCCCACAGCTGGTTATGGAAAAAGATGTTAGTCTCATTAGATCCAAACCAGCATTGTTACAAATCAGGATGTAAATCTTCTGTCCTTTCTACCTTCCATTTCTCTTTCCCTCCATGCTTCATTTTTTATCTTTATTTTCAGCACACACTGACTCTCTGCCTGATAAGGACTTGGGTTCCAGGCTTGAAAGCTTCAGTGCCTACCCCACCCTCCAGAATCCAACAATCTCATTGGGGTGATAAAAACAGACCCCAACATCAAAAGCTAGGATGCCCACCACCTGGAAGTGGGAGATGTTCATGCAATCAACCACCAGCCAGCACAGAGGGCTGCGCCGGAATTGTGCTGGGTTCTAGCGATCCAAAACGGTGAACAAGATCTAGCTGCCCCTGATGGGAGAGCTCAAGTCTAGTGGGAAACAAGATCACTGAGTGGCAAGAGGAAGTGCTCTCTCAGTCAGACTGGGAATGCTGGAGAAGAGATCCAGAGGGGCATCTGAAAGAGTATTAAAAGTTAAGTAGATGTTAGACAAATCAAGGAAGACAGCACTCACAGATTGAGGAAAAAAAGTGTAAAAGATATGATGGCATTAAAAACCTGACTTGGTGTAGAATGTGGGGTTGTTAAATTATAAATTGCATACTGGGCAAAAACTGAATGACAAAAGGCCTTCTGTATTAATACCTGGACTTGATTGTGACATGTGGACACTGAAGATTTTTAGCATAGTGACACAATTAGGACCAATCTACTGTACTTCAAGAAATGTACACAGTGGGGAATAATGAGAACTGGTTCTACAGTAATGCTGTTATGCAAGAACAATGAAAGGTACCATGTCTAAGTTACTTTTTTTTTTTTTTTTTGCAGAACCAGGGATTGAACTCAGACCCTTGCACTTGCCAGGGAAGCGCTTATTCTACTAAGCCTTCTTCCCAGCCCCAGGTACCATGGACACAGAGGGCAGACATGGGGAACTAAAGAGCAGTCCTTGGTCCAGGGATGAGGCTCATGGTCTGTGTCCACCTTCCCAGGAGAAACAAAACTGGTTCTTGAGGGGGAAATGGAGTATAAGTAGTGCAGGAATTATGAGGTGAGACATTCACACAAGTGCATATATCACAGACATACACAAGAATATGAACACATCATACATGTGTCACAGTGTGCACATACCACAGACACGAGTAAACACAGAAAAATGCACATATCATATATGAAGACATGTGTCTATTACACACATGCACATAAACAAAGAGAATGCAAAAACCAAATCCCAAATCTGAAGAAACCTATCTATAGTTTGTAGTTTTTCAATTCTAACAAAAAATTCATTTCTTCCAATGTTTTTCTAGTTGCTTCTTTCATGGGCATTTGACTATCAAGCATTCTGAGTGACCTCTGTTTCAAGTGCCCTTCCCCCTAAACCTTCTACTCTCTCCTGCCCTTTCTCATATTTCTCATTTGCACACAAAAAGCAGTTGTCTCTGGGACACCAGGTCAGAAATCTGTGAAGACAAGATAACAATTGTGGAAACAAAAGTAGAATTTGGAAGGATATCAAGGGTTCTGTAGAGTTAGACCAAGTCGGGACAAAAGAAACACAAGACTATGTATGAAGAAGTCATAGAAGCTAAGAAGAAAGGGGTGGGAGTCCGTACACAACCAACCTTTCTGCTCACCTACTATGTGGTCACACTGTAGATACAGAGAAAGACACAGTCTTTAGCAGTAGGTCAGGGAGATAACTAAGACACAAAGAAATTCAACAGAGCTCTAGAGTCCACAGTGCATAAGACAGCTATAGGACTAAGTGGTAAGAGGATAAGAGAGCAAAGGAATATGGCTGTTAAAGCTAATGGTAACAGAGACCATGGAGTGACATGGGGACACCTGCATGACAACAGTGCTACAGGAAAAGTCAAAACTCAAAATTGAGTTTATATAAACAAGAAGTATAAATTAAGAACAAGATAAATTTGCCAAAGGAAACTGTTCATGTTTCTGTTATTATTCCTGTAGGATTTATTGTACCTCACAGTATTTATTGTTTCAAAAAACATCATTTTATGAGAATTCAGTATTTTTTATTTGTGAAAAATTCAGAAACAACAGATTCTTAAATATAAGATCTTCTTAAAGATATGAATTTTATCTTCTTGGGCTCCTTCTGAAGGTACTGTGGAGCTCTACGGCGTTCCTTTGGTTCTTCATTTGGCCTACAGTGAGGGAAGAACAAAAGTATTTGCATTACAAAAGAAACTATATCAAACACTATGTCTGTTAAGTGACAAATATTTACAGTAAAAAAATTGAGAGATTAATAATAACCATTTTGTTTCTTTGTACCTTTGAAGAATTCTCCAAAGTCTTAATTGCTTCATTTTGGTTTTGTGCTAAATTGAATAGACAGAGATATTTTCATTTGTTTTATATATGACTCTGTACAGTATGTTTGTAAAAGACTGAACTAGAATAATGAACATCTGTTTGCAAAAAATACTTGCCAAAACTTGAAAACTAGTTGTATTTTCAAATTTGTAATGTAGCTATTTTGTCATTGATATTCATCTGCTTTGTTTTGTTTCATGTATACAGCAGAATGACCTGTAAGAAGACAAGAGGGCCAGTTCTACCACAAGGGCTTCACTGCATACACATGCACAGACCTAAGACCATGTATGGCACAAATTAAGCCTTCCTGGGCCGGCCAAATAGATCAGCACGTCTGGGGGTTCAATCCACAGGCCTCCCATGCTGGCCCTGCACCCAGGGCATGATGAGAGGGCAATTGAGACTGGGTGTGGTGGCGTGCACCTATAATCCCAGTTCTTAGAGACTATAAACAGAGGGATCACTGTGAGTCCAATCTAGTAGTGAGACCTTGAACACCCTGCAGACCCTTCCCTTAAAAAAAATACAAAAAAAACCCCACAAATTAAGCCTTCTTTTGGGATTCAATTGCAAGAAGATCTATAGCAACTTACATGCCTAACCACATGCCTTTCTTAATTCATGCAATTATACCCACCCTTGGTAATGATACTCTGTGTAACAGGGGCCAACCTCTGTCACCCAACCCTTCTCCTCATACTTAGCTCAGGCAGTGAAATACTCTTGGGAGAAAAGTTCCTAAAATGCCTCTGAAGTGAGTCTGAGGCTAGCACCCAAGGAGGAAGGCAGTTTCCACATTGTCCTCTAAGAGATCCCTAACTCTTTTATCATCTTACTCAATTTCTTCCCTGCCCCTGACCAGCCTCATCTCTCCCTTCTCTTTGACCAGAGAGGGGTCATGGAAAGGAAGCATCAACAGGATTAGAATGGTGGTGAGTTATGTTCATTATATAAATGAAGAAACAAGTCTGAGGAACAGTTCCTTACCTGAACTCACAGATTATTGTTGCCGAGTACAGACTTGGACACTAATGCTGGAAGATCCCAAGATCTCAAAAGAGGAAAGATTCTGATCTTACCCTTCAGAAAATAGCAGAGGCTGACAAAACACATGGCTCACAGCTCTGCTTCAGGGCTGATCCAGAAAGTTCTGGATCCAGTGGATCATGTGCCACCAGGGTCTGTGAGAAGGCATGATTGAAGTGACGTTCAAAAACCTAAGAAGCAAGAAACAGAGAATCAGGTACCTCAGATGAAAGGTGGATGTGGGGTGGCAAGGAAAGTAGTTTGCTGTCGCTGGCTCATTTCATCTATAGTTTCCATGGGAATTTAAATCAGATTCTATTCCCCTATACTATGAGGCTAAATTCTTTTCCTCCCCTTGGCAGACCAATAAATATTTTCAATATTTTATTTATTCTAAGGTTCAGCCCTGAGTTAGATGAAGATATGGAGACTTCAGGGATCCAATCCCACCTGAATGATGCTCCTAGCCCAGAAAAGAAGGTCCCCAGAACCCAAGTGTGAATCACTGTTCTATCCTTTTTTGCTTTAGAATTATCTGAAGCCAGGGACAGGATCAAATGAAGTCACTAGAGACCTCCTAACCAAACTGTAGTCATTCTCTCTTTTTGAAGCAATGGGAAGGCAATCTCCTCAAGGCTTCTACTTGACTTCAATAGACTGCTGCTGTGGAAATAAAGAGCATATTTTTAAAATTTTATTTATTTATTTATTTATTTATTTATTTATTTATTTATTTATTTGGTTGTTACAAGTCTCACCACACAGCTCAGACTCATGGTGATCCTCCTGCTTTCAGCCTCCCCAGTGCTGGGATTACAGGCGACTCCAGCCAGCTCAGCCCACCCTGGGGGCGGGGCTGACCCAGCATGTGTTACCAGAGATCAAACAGTAGTCCCTGCGTTTGCCTAAGCTTGCCAAAACAGGCGCTTTAGTCCGTTGAGCTATCTCGCTGGCCCTCTAAAGAGCATATTTTGAATAACGATTAAAAATTAAGACTAATTGGCAAGCCTGAGGAACAAGGTTTACTGGCCATAGCAGAGATTGGATTCACATTTTGTCTTCAATTGTAAATCCTGTTTGCTATCTGTGGGCAAGAGAGAAAGCTCAGCCCTTGGCAGAGCTCACACCCAAAGCCTACTACAGCCACGGGGAATTCCTGAAAGTAGCATTTAAGAATCAAAACTGGATCTGAAACCAAAGTGGAAACAGCTCTTACCCTGCCTTGCTTTTCAGTGATCCCCATTAAAGGGGAAATACCTCAGTGTAGGTTACCTAAAGTGACAGGTGATTAAAAGGCGTAAAGCTTTCCAACCAGATGCCAATAGGCTCTGGATGTTTTCTTGAGTCTGTTTTCTTTAGGATGCAGATACACACACCCAAGAGATATCTGAGGACTGGCTGGCTGGAGAGCCAACATTCACAGACCACCAACAACCATTATATACCTGAGAGGCTTTAGGCAACATTCCCTAACCTAGATTAGGACTGGGAAAGACAAATAGTGTTCACTGCACCTCCCTGCTCATAAAGTTTATATAAGAGGGAAATGAAGGCCCTGAGCCCTCAGGCTATAGAACAGCTTGCTTAACTGTGAAAGCTGGGATATGTCATATCAGCAATTTACTTCCAGGTCCAGAGGATAGTGTACATAGGTCTGCAGCATTCCTCAGCTTAGTGGGCTCAGCTAAAAAACTTTGACTATCAGTTCATTCCTGTTCACACTGCCAAGACCCTCTTCTTAGCAGGAAAGAAAAGAAAATCACAACCTAGCGAAACAGTAATGACACTGGTGTCTAAAGACACAGGTTCTAGATTGTGTCCCACTGCTTAGCCCTAGGTTATGGGCTCTAGGTTCTTTATCACCCTCCACAAATGGAAGGGTTAAGTCTCTATGACCCCTTTGGCACCTGCAGCCAGGAGTGCATAATATCATCCCAGAACAGCTGTGAACATTGATGGAAACACCATGTGTTCCCTGCCGCCCAAAGGGTATGAACCTGAGTTTGACTGAGAAGCAATCCCTGTCCAACTCCTATGGACCCAAAGAGAAAAGGTACATTGTACATGGAAAGAACACAAGATTCACAGACAAAAAACTTAAGTCTGAATCCTGAATTTACTACTCTAAAAGCTGTGAGAATTGGAGAAAAATGCTTTGCCTCTTCAAGCCACTTCTACATCCAGAAATGAAGATAACAATTCCCTGGGCACACAGGACTATGAGAGAGTAAAACACAGAGTGACCACTGTCCATAAGCCAGAATCTGCCCACACAGGAAGAGCCCAGGCTGAGGCAACTGTAGCATTGGGTGCAGTTTCCTCTATACACTGATAAGCTCCTTGGGAAGCTGTGACCAACCTTCCTGTGCTTCTTGCTGGATCCCAAAGTCCACACATCCTGATAGAGGCCCAGGACCTGAGGATTTTGGGATGCAGGATAAAGAGGTAATGAGAAGCCTGCTCCCAAGAACAACTCGAACTTGAAGACATACGTCATGAGAGGATACAACTACTACAATCTATCGCCTAAATTCCGGGAAAAGGAAAGCAGCGTGGGACATGGAGCTGGTGGTGGGATGACCACAGGACAGGTGCCAGAAGGAATTCTATTCCAGAGCAGTTCTCCTAGACAGCTGTTCTCCCCATGTAATATCCACGCATAACCAGTCCTTCAAGCTGTTGGCCAGCAGGACTGGAGAGAGGAGGGAAGTAGCCTCCCCATAGGCATCCTTCTACTTTCTGGGCCAGGACATAAGAAAAATGTTTCCATTCCATGGAAGTGTAAAGGGCTTTTAAAGCTTTAGTCCCACCCTGCCAAGCTCCTAGGGCCCTGGTCTCTGTATATGTTACTCTTTACAAACTATCTGTTGTTCTTTTAACTTCCGTTACATGAGGATTGTATAGTTTGGGCTACTTAAAGGTTTTGACAAACAGCCTTGTATCATATAGAAGCCCAGAGCCCTTCTGGATTCGGGGCAGGTGTTGTGTGCCTCAGATCTGAGAAGCAGCTTTCCAGCCCCTCCTTTCCTACATCCCCTCCTTTCCTACATCCCCTCCAGCACAGCTTGTGAAGGTGGGAGGGCTGTGCATCGCGGAGCTAGGCATTATCTTCTTTCCCTAAAGATGCCTGTATAGGAAGTTAAGTGTACTGCAAAGAAAAGCCAAACTGAGAAGCAAAGAGTCTCCAACTTTTTTGTGGCTTATGAATCAGAAGCTAAATTTTCTCCAAAGGCCTTATGTATGATTACAGATAAGCCTTAAGTGTCCTTAATACATGAACTGCCACAACTTTCTAAGGAACCCTGGTTTCTTCAAAAATAAGACCTAACCAGAAAATAATCACCCACGTAAACTAGAAATCAAAAATGCCAGTTCCAATCACCTTGCCGTACCTGCCATTACTAAGTAGCCACCGAGTAAGAGAAGAGTGTGGTATAATCTGCATGCCACAGGCCATCACCATGGTAATGACCAGAGCTTATTTTGAGTGAATTCTCATTTTCAGAGAAATATGAAATTCACACACGCACACACACACACACACACCCCTCCCCTATAGGGCCTGCTCATCAGATATTGAGAGAACTGTCAGAGGAAGCGCAATAAAATTCTTCTAGCCAAACACTACCATCTCTACAAGTATCCCTGGATTTTCTGCAATGCTTTTCTGTTCACTTACACAACAGCTGGGTTGAACCTGTAGTTTCAACATGAAAGGATCATCTTTCCAAAAAAGATGGCTAGTGAATAGGCCTCAAAAATTCCCTTCCATTCCAACAGGATTTACTGAATACCTGTTAATCCCTAGCACCATAGTAGTACAAAAGCACATAAAAGCTGTAAATCTTTTTTTTTTTTTTTTTTTTTTTTTTGGAACTGGGGATTGAACTCAGGCCCTTATGCTTGCCAGGGAAGCGCTTATTCCACTGAGCCATCTCCACAGCCCTAAGGCTGTAAATCGTAAAAATCTGGCAAATCAAGTCTTACAAAAGCTCACACACCTATATGTCCTAACCCCACAATGGCCTACCATTTCCTACCTGATATGGTGAAAAGTGATAATCAGTTACCATCCATACAGATACCCCACTAGGACTACTTCTAGTCCAGGGGAATAAATTAGAATACATGCTTGCATAATCACACCTCATGCGAGGTGAGAAACACAAGATCTGGTATTGACTCTTCTCTGAGGCTTAGCATGGTACCCAGAACGCTGTGTTGGCTCGTTGAATACAGTTAAATCTGGACCTTTACTAGGACCTAAAAAAGGTCCTTAAAACTGACAGAAAAAATACCTTATTGATCTTAGAAAAACATAAGCCTCCAAACCTAACACACAAGAATGAAATCCTGGCATTCTGTACACCATAGGTGAAACTGGAGGATACTATATTTAGTGAAAAAAGACACAAGAAGACAACCACTAATTGAGAAATGAGAAGGAGGTATAGAAATACAGTTAGGAAGAATAAGTTTTAGCATTTTATAAGATAGTACAATAACTGTCATTTACAACAATTTATTATATATGTGAAATAGCAAAATGGAGCTCAAAAAGCAGCTTGGAATGCTCACACAAAAAGTGCTAATCAGGGCTGGGGAGATGGGTCAGTGGAATAAGCGCTTCCCTGGCAAGTGCAAGGGCCTGAGTTCAATCCCCAGTTTCGCAAAAAAAAAAAAAAAGCTAATCATCTCTGATTTAATCATTTCACACTGTATGAATGTGTCAAATTCTTATATGTACAACTATCATGTGTTAATAAAAATGGTTAAATGGACAATTGAAGATTATTAATTGTTTGGAGCCATTTATGCTTCATATTTTACAATTCCACAGAAAAGTAATGACATCCTCAAAAAAATCCCGTCATTTTGACACATAAGAATATGAAAGAAACCACTGCAGCCTCCTTTCACCACTTTTATAAGAAATTGTATTTCAACACACAAAAAATAGAAATGCCATGATTTTAGAATTACAGACATTCCTTCCCACGAACCCTCTACCAATACCAACTCACTCAGATTTCTACTAAAGATTGATGAACACGTGGTCATGGGTCCATATGGGCCACAGGCAAGGGTAGGAACCATAGACCCCTCCTCATGAGATTGTTTCCCTCTGAAACCTCCATGGTGCCTCAGCTTCAAATAAAGAAAACTGCATTCTCCAACAGATTCTACCTTCTCTCTCCTGGGTGTTCTTGAAGGAGAGGAACACTTGGATTCAGCTGAGTTCTTACTATCCAAACTAAAACCAGCGCCACAAGTTTCTGAAAGCCACATCTAATCAGGATCATTTGAATCAGTAAAAACTCCACCATAATTAAGTTAATTTCTTATTGGAGCAGTTGTTTCAACACAGAGCTGGGTGGAACAACGTTTGAATACGATATCTTAAATAATAACAACTGAGTTCCAATGATGTAAGAAGGGAGAACTTGCTGCTCTGCAAGCAAAGAAGTGGTGTTGCCAGCCCAGAGTCAACAGAGACATTCTGAGTTAATCTCCTAAATGAAGACTTGAGCTTGTCTCAGACCATTCTTGGACTTCTTTCTGGCCTTCATATTCAAGGTCCAGTGAGGTTCCATAGAAGGATGATCAGTTATGTGACAAAACTGAAAGGCAGCATCTCCTATACTTGAAATAACTATTCTCTCTCCACATGTCAATAGACCAGGTATTATTATTCCTATGTGACAGACAAGCAACTGAGGGTCAGAAAACTTGATCATTCAATAGTCAACAAATACTTGTGCAGGGCTTCCCCTCTACACGCACTGCATACAGAGCTATGACTGAGCCCACGGTGACACAGCTGGCAAGTAGCAAAGGGAGCACCCGAACCTTGACATGTAACCTCAAATCTATTCCATTCCATGGTGACCTCCCTGGCTGAGGTCAGCGTTGCCACAAGATACCAAAGCCAAAGGCCCACAGCAGCAAGGACTATATGGCCCAGGTCTTTGGTCTGCACCTCTGCAAAGAAAGTCAATATTGAATTCCAATGCCTGCTTTCTCCACAGATAATTCAAAGTAGCCCGTAGTGGCATCTTGGTTACAGCACTGTCCATGATATCCAGTCTAGAACTGGGACCAGGGGCCCCTGTACCCTTACAGCCCAGTAGGCAGAACAAAGACATTCCAGCAAAGCTCTCATGAATCCCAAACAAAAATTTTAGCAAAAGTGCAAAACCAATTTTAAAGTTCAAGGTTTACAGACCAGTTAAGATCAGAAGCCATGGGCTTTGAAAGACCCTACTCCCTGGACCAATCTCCAGTTTGATTCTCATAGGCTGCCTCACACATCAGGGACTATGCCTCAAGCTGGCTATGACAGGTGGCCCATTCCAGAGGTGCTGGAAACAATGTCTACCATCCACTCTGGCTAGCCATCTCCACTGACCAGCCTGCTCCACAGTTGCATCAGAGAAGGGGCCAGTCATACACTAAGCTGCCTATCTCAAGAATGCCAAAATCTTCATGAATGGGCCACCCTGTGCCTGCAATCTCAAGGAGGTGGGGCCCACAGCTATGGGTCACGTAAGTGAGGTCAAACATGAGAGGCTGGCCTGATCAATAGATGAGTCAGGACAGACAAAGAGTATAAAACCTCAGGACTTCCAGTGCTTCTCACATCGCCAGCATCTCCTCTCTTCATTCACCCTTCCTGGTGCTTTGGGTAAGTGGGGATTTACCGGCTCTCATCTTTCCAGCTGCGCTTCAGTGGATGGGGAATCTTTCCCCTTTGGGAGTTCCGAAATATCTACCTTCCTTGTGCACTGCACTCATACTAAGAGAGGAGTCATGAAAGGGATGGGGTGCTGAGTTATTGGTCTTCAGTCTAGAGTGTAAACTATACCAATCCAAGACTATTGTCTGCCTCTCTGGTACTCTCAAAGAAGTAGCAATTGGACTAGAGACAGAGAAAGATGCTGCAGTAGGACCCAAGGCTGGCTGACTTCATAAAACTGTTAGGAGGAGGGGCTGAGTCCAGGATTAGAGAGTGTAGAGGATTTAGAGAATGTTGCAGAGGAGCCACAGAAACCCAAATCCTACAGACAGTGTGAATGACTTTGAGGTGCAAGGATTTAGCTTTCTACCAGTCCCTGTTCCTTCTACTAAGCTGGAACTTCAGTGTGTCACAAAAGAGATGTCTAATATGTGGTATCCTGGTAGGAGATGCTCCTCCAAAGGACCACCTGGGTCCTCCTCCCTGCGCCCAGACAAGGTCAAGAAGTCCCTGTCTATATTAATAGCTAGTTATTGGGCCATAGCCTCACTCAGTAGAATAGGCTGAGTTTGAGCTCGAGTTTGACAAAAAAAAAAGGGGGGGGGGTATAATTGTCCTCTTGCATCCCAACACATCTCCCTCAATTGCCTTAGAAATGGCAAAATCTCCTTCCTAAGTAGAGATTTGTGGTAATTTTCTATTTGGACTAAAGAGAACTGCTGTTTAGGACTGGAAAAAGTCTGAGAAACAAATGTTTACTGTTTCATTTTATGTAAGATGAGAAGCAGCCCTAAAAACACACCACAAAGGTCAGACAGAGTTTATAGAGAGAGTAGGTGCCACTAACTCAGCTATTTCAACTTGGCCAAGGCTTTCTGAGAGAATAATCAATTCCTTCCCAAAAGTAGCAACCCAGCTGAAAGCTGAGGCTCCTGAGAGGAACTTGGGGCTTAACCAAGTAGGATGCTCTCAGAGCAGGGTGGCCGTTACCAAGGATAGAGCTGCATCCCTCACAGCGCTCTCTTGTGGCTTATCCAGTGATGCCTTTCCGCTCTTTTTTCAGGGTGCAATTCTTCCTTAGACAAGATGTCTCACCAGAAAAAGCAGCCCACCCCCTACCCTCCAGTGGTTTGTAAGACCTCTGGTGGTGGCGGCGGCGGCGGCGGCTCCAGCTGCGGTGGTGGCGGCGGCGGCGGCGGCGGCGGCTCTAGCTGTGGAGGCGGCTACTCCGGTGGCGGGTCCAGCTGCGGTGGCGGCTACTCCGGCGGCGGTTCCAGCTGCGGCGGTGGCGGCAGCTCTGGAGGAGGTGTCAAGTACTCAGGCGGCGGCGGCGGAGGCGGCGGCGGCTCCAGCTGTGGAGGCGGCTACTCCGGCGGCGGTTCCAGCTGTGGAGGCGGCTACTCTGGCGGCGGTTCCAGCTGCGGTGGCGGCGGTAGCTCCGGAGGAGG